TGGAATGTCTGGTAAACAGACGTTTGGTATGGTATTTAGAGACACACAATAGTCTCTCCATTAGTCAACATGGCTTTCGTAAGGGGCGGTTCGACTCTTGACCCCTTACTCCGTTTAGATACATATGTATGTAATGTCTTAGACAATAATCACTCGGTTATCGTCATCTTTTTTGATCTTGAGAAGGCATATGACACAACTTAGAGATATAATATCTTGACCCAAGCTAACTCCCTAGGCCTCCGAGGCAATCTACCATTTTTCCTTAAGAACTTCTTATCCGAGAGACATTTCCGTTTTCGGGTTAATATGCTTTCTCCGGACTTTGTCCAAGCTGAAGGCGTTCCCCAGGGATGTGTCCCAAGCACCACACTTTTTCTCCTTGCTATAAATGATCTGGCATTTATACTTCCATTTAATATTTGGTCATCACTCTATGTTGATGACTCTGCTATAGCTTGTGCAGGTGCTGACTATTGCCTCATTGCAGTTTCTCTCCAGCATGCGGTCAACCGTGTTTCCAACTGGGCCATTGCTCATGAGTTAAAATTTTCTAGTACTAAAACACACCAAATTACTTTGACTAGACATTCTATCATCCCTGACAATCCATTGTACCTGTATGGTTCACATATCCCAGAACGTGATACCGTCAAATTTCTCGGCCTTCTGTTTGACCGTCGGTTATCCTGGAAACCTCACATTACCTCCTTGAAGGCAACTTGTCATAGCTGGCTGAACCTTAAAATTCTCACTCATCTTCATGGGGGGGGGGGGGGGGTGATTGTAGAACCTCCTTTAACTGCATTCTGCCCTAATTTTATTGAAGCGGATTATGGTGCCAAAGAAATATTCAGCAGCCTCTCCGCAACTCTTTTCTAGCCTTGATCTCATCCATCACCAGAGATTACGTTTATGCCTTGGTGCTTTTTCACCTTTAGAGTCTCTTTGCAGAGATGAATATTCCATCCCGACTGATCCCCCATGATGCCATTGCCTCTGCTATTTTGTTCACTCTCATGACCTCCACAAATCCTTTCATATATTTGGATGGTAACGGGTGTTAAATAGAAGTTCCTATTTGTTCACCTCGCCTGTTACTTCTGTTTCCTTTTCCTTCGTCTACATTCATTCATCTTCTCTTCACTTGCTACCTTCTATGTTCACGTAGCATCTAACTTTCCCCTTCCCCCTTGGAAGTTCCGACAGTTTTGTGCCTGTTCTTCCCCACGCCATGCGCAAAATCCCAAATACCACTGTTACTTCTCTTTCTTTTTCTTAATCACTTCCAGTCTCATACTCATCCATTGCAGTGTACAAATGATGATTCCAAGTCTTCTGATGGTTTTTGGATATGCAGCAGTGCTTTCAGACAGCATCTTATGAGGCATTTGTCTCAGCTGGGATTTTTACAGCTGAATTGTATGCAGTTCTTGTAGCACTTATCCATATGCAATTCTTGCACACTTATCCATATTGCATCTATGCCTGTGTTGCCATTTGTGGCAGTTGATTCACCTCATCCGCTGGTTCCTCGTATCCAACTTTGGTTACGCCAAATCTCTAGCAAGCACAAAGATATTATTTTTGCTGGGACCCCAGCCATGTTGATGTACAAGGCAATGAACAGGCAGACACTGCTTGCGGTCAGCAATACATGACCTTCCAATTTTAAATAGAGGTGTTCCATTCACAGAATATTTTGCTGTGATTTCTACCCGCCTTCGCAACCGTTAGCAACAGCATTGGTCTGATCTGCTACATAACAAACTGCATTCTATTAAACCAAGTACAGGTTTCTGGCCATATTCTTGTCATCAATGTCGAGGTTGGGAGACTACTCTCTCCCGTCTTCGCACTGGCCACACTCATCTTACTCACGGGTATCTCATGGAGGCGCCCTGCTCCACTCTGTGAGAATTGTCAGGTTCCAGTTTTTGTTAGCCACATTCTGTTGGACTGCCCACTCTATCAACGAGCATGCAGAATTTACCTCTGACATCGTCACTGCTCTAATGCCTTACTTTACCTTCCCTTCTTGCTGATGGACCCTCCTTTAACCTTGACTTTCTCATTGACTTTGTGACAGCAACTGATTTACTGAACAAAAATTTTGATTTATATTTTCCAGCACTCCTCACGCCCTTTCAAACCTCTCCCCCTTGCTACCCTCTACCCCTGCACCCTTTCCCCGCCCTGCTAACGCTGTATATCCTTGAAAAGGTTATGCTTCTTTTGTTTATAAAAAAATAATAAACCCACCCCCCCCAAAATAAAAAAAATTATACAATTTGTTGTAAAAAACTGAAAACACAAACCCCCCGGGGTTTGCTATTGATGGTCACTTCCCCAACTACAACACTCAAAAATTGTTTTCTCATTTTTGACATTTCTCAAAAAAAAAAAAATCTTCAAACTCCCAAAATTGGCCCTTTACAGGGAATTCAAGATGCAGTCCAGCCCAAAAAAGTGTTAAACAAAAATTAGATAAAAATTTACTAAAGGTATTATGTAAAAAACACCTTACAGGGGAGCCCCGGTATTCGATATTAATCCGTTCCTGAGAGCTCATCAAATACCGATAATATTGAAAACCGAATCAATTTTCCTTATAAGAAATAATAAAAATCAAATTAATCCTGCAAGACCCCCAAAAGTATAAAAAAAAAAATTTTTTACATGAAATACAGTGGTCCCTCGTTTTTCGAAATTAATCCGTTTCCGGACCTTTACAAAAAAACGAAATTTACGATTTGCGAATCAATTTTTCCTAAAAAGAAATAATGTAAATACAATTAATCCGTTCCTGACACCCAGAAGTATTAAAAAAAAAAAATTTTTTTCATGAAAAACAATAGTACATAAACAATACAAGGGGAAATATGAATAAAACTTTAACAGCATAACACTTACCTTTTTTGGGAGATTCTTCTTAGTGTAGGGGAGAGGGGAGGGGGAGAGAGATTGGATTGTTTACAGTTTGGGAAGGGAATCCCTTCCACAACACCTCAGGGACCAATTGCTTCTCTGGGTTGCTTCTCTTTTCTGTTTTTTAAAGCCACTAGGACCACCTTTGGGGTCACTCTAGTCCGTTCGCAAGAACTGTGGAGAAGGGCCCGTTTTCGGCATCTCTTTAACACTTCCCAAAAAGGCCTCACCTCTTACCACAGCTTTGGGATAGGGGCTTTCTTTTGGGCCAGGTAGCTTATTTGTAATTGCAAGCACAAAATGATGGAATATTAGAAAATTTCGTAGGACACTTTTAGGGGGCCTTCCTCCTGGAAACAAAACCAGACGGCTGGGGAAGGGGGGCTGCCCCCCTCACACCGGCTACCATCCCGGGCGAAATACTAAATTTGCAGCAACCAAAGAAAACGAGTCCATGTTTTTTACGAAAAAACCCCATGATTGGGGAAATTTACATTTTCGGGAAAAATGAAAGCGGGGACCCCTTTATTTAAATTTAAAAACAATAAATAATTTCAAAAAACAATAAAAAATTTTACACTTACCTTTAAAAAGCGGGGAAGATTTTATGGGGTTGGGAAAGGGGGGGAAGGGGTTTTGTGTTTTGAAGGGAATCCCTCCATTTGGGCTTTTAGGGGACAAGCCCCTTTTTCCCGGGTTACTTCCCTTTTTTCTTTTAAAACCACTAGACCCTTGAAGTCACGGGCCTCTTCGCACAAAAAATCGCCAAGAGCTCTGTACCTCCCGTTCCTTTACATTTGCTAAAGGGGACAACATTCATTTTAATGCTGTGTTGGGCATTTCATCCATAAAGGTTTTTCACTCAACCCACTTTCACACCCTTCCTTTAAATTTTTTAAGTAGCACAAAGTATTCCACAACTGTATAGGCTTCTCAGGTTTCCCTAAACTCTTCAAAATCTTTTCTTAATTTCCAAACTAATTCTTCACCCATTTTACCACAGGGTTTGGCCTCGAAGCTTTCTTGGGCCTATCATGGTGACTTATTTTGCAGAAACAATACACAAGACACGTGTGAATTATGGATAATATGGGAATGTACCGAATGTATCCTTAGATGCCGTGCACACTGGCTGGCTTGTAAACAATGGCACACAAGGGGCAGTTCAGGCCACATGTGGACAGGTCTCGTACGAATCGTATCGAATACCGGGTTTTCAATCGAATTCCGAGGAAATTTATTTTGGCGAGTAAATCATCGAATACCGATTTTATACGAATTACCGAAGCCATCGAATACCCGGGGTCCACTGTATATGGAAACGACAGAATTACAAGAAAATTAAGAATACACAAGTTAACTGTTTACTATAAAGTCAGTACACTATACAGCTAGCCCTCCACTTTTGTGATTTCCACTTTCACAAACTTTTGAACATTTCGCGGATTATCCCAGCCATCCCAAATATACTACACTATTTTCCAATGTTTTCATGTGATTTAAGAATTGTTCATGATTCAATAGGTTAAAGGAAGCAGTATTTGATTAGCTAAGTAAAATGCTATTATTAATTTCCTACAATATATATTGTGGCATCAAAACAATTCGCGAACGCTACAGTACAGTATTCTTATTTTTCCTACATTAAACTTTGCGCACCAAACATTCGCGAATTTTTCAAGATTCGCGAGGTGTCTTGATCCCCGAAACCCTCATGAATGTGAAGGCTTCCTGTACAACAGTAGTTAGACTTTTGGTACATACAAGCTCTCTAATAAGGCTACTGTAGTGTTATAAGTACAAGCTCTCTATAAAGATACTGTAGTTTATCAGTACAAAGCTCTCTTATAAGCTACTGTAGTTTTAAGCACAGCTCTTTTGTAAATCTACTGTGTTTTAGAAGTATCAAGTTATAAAGCTTACTGAGTTATTTGGTGATTCACGTGATAAAAGTTTGTAAGTTACCACGAAAGGCCATTAGTTTCCAGGTCCGTATTTAATTTTTCATGTGATTTAAATCACTTTTATAAAAAATCACCTATTCAGAGAAGCCTTTATGAAGTCCTTATATACAGGAGCTTTATAAGAGAACTGACAGTATATAGAGGTGTATAAGAGAGCTGACTGTATATAATAAACTGAAACAAACTTATTTCTCCACCAGTCTCACACATGGGTCTGATCCTCTCTCTCTGGAATTTTCCAATTTGGCAATTCTGGAGCCAAACTGAATGGCTCTCTTTGGTAAAACAGCAGCAGCTGTCAGTCCCAGATGAGCAGCTGCCACACGCAGCACCAGCTTCTCCCCTACTCCACGCGGCAGATATAAGTTGGCCTTAATCCACACTGGCAGTGAGTTGAGGAAATTCACGACGTCTTCGTCCAAGTATGGGAACCTGGAGGAGGAATTAGCTTGGTTATTATGGCAGTAAAATGTTTTATAAAGGAATTCTTTGTAGTGAAGACTGCTGCAGGTGCAGGTGAACAACTGCATACAAAACAGTACAGCATGAACAGGTACAACACCAACGTTATGGCATCTAATGGTCTGGCACCTCTTTTAGTCAAATCATTACAATTAAACCATACCACGGGTGGGGATAGAACCCACGATCAGAGAGTCTCAAAACTCTATCCCCGTCCGTGGTATGGTTTGTTTGTAATCGTGTCATTATGATTTCGTGAGTTATTACAATTAAAACTAAATGCTAAATCCATAAGGGCCATACAGACCTCTTTTAGTCAGGACAAAATTACAAGACTTATTTTTTATAGACGGCATTATGTGCAGCGCGTTCTCACTTACATTGTTTTACACTGCAGTTGATTTTCTGCTATACTTAGCATATATGGCTAATAATTAATAATTGGATGGAGGGGGTAAAGGAGGTGTTGTGGGCGAGGGGTTTGGACTTCCAGCAAGTCGTGCGTGAGCGTGTTAGATAGGAGTGAATGGAGACGAATGGTATTTGGGACCTGAAGAGCTGCTGGAGTGTCAGCAGGGTAATATTTAGTGAAGGGATTCAGGGAAACCGGTTATTTTATATAACCGGACTCGAGTCCTGGAAATGGGAAGTACAATGCCTGCACTCTAAAGGAGGGGTTTGGGATATTGGCAGTTTGGAGGGATATACAGTGGACCCTCAGCTAATGAGGGCATCGTATAACGTTAATTCTGACTAGCGATACATTTTAACACAAAAATTTTGCTTCGACTAGCGCTAAAAAATTTGACCAACATGATTCGTTCCGTTCCGTTCGAGACGCGTCCACTTGTGGCCTGAGCGCGCCTCACTTGTCCCTTGGGTGCCAGTGTTTACAAGCAGCCAGCCACCGCGGTCCCATCCAAACATACAATCGGAACATTTCATATTATCACAGCATTTTTAGTGATTTCACCTGCAAAATAAGTCACCATGGGCCCCAAGAAAGCTTTTAGTGCCAACCCTGTGGTAAAAAGGGTGAGAAATACTATCGTACCACAGTCAGCTGCTGCTGCACCACGGTCAGCTGATGCTGGACCAGTCAGCTGTTGCTGGATCAGTCAGCTGTTGCTGTCCATGGTCAACTGTTGCTGGGCCAGTCAGCTGTTGCTGCAACAGTCAGCTGTTCTGGACCGGTACCCGCTGTTGCTGCACCAGGTCAGCTGTTGCTGGACCAGGGCAGCTGTTCGGACCGTCAGCTGTTTGCTGCACCATGGTCAGCTGTGCTGGACCAGTCAGCTGTTGCTGACACCATTTTGCCAAGGTCAGCTGTTGGTGGAACCAGTCAGCTGTTGCTGACCAGGTCAGCTGTTGCTGCACCATGGTCAGCTGTTGCTGGACCAGTCAGCTGTTGCTGGATCAGTCAACTGTTGCTGCACCAGGGCAGCTGTTGCTGGACCCGTCAGCTGTTGCTGCTGCTGCACCACCAACAGCTTATTACTCAAAGATGTGGAGAGTGGGGTTTGTTTGGTGTGGCCTTAACGTGAACAATTTCCGAAACGATTAACCCCAGAGGGTTAGCCACCCAAGGGTAACCCAAGAAAGTCAGTGCATCATCGAGGACTATCTAACTTTTTTTCCATTTGGGGGCCTTAAACTTGTCCCCCAGGATGCAACCACAACAGTTGACTAACACCCAGGTGAACAGAAAAAAATGCTTGAACTAGTGCTCATATTGGTGAATTTAAGGCCCGCAAAGGTTGGTTTAAAAGATTTAAGAATTGTAGTGGCATACACAGTGTGATAAGCATGGTGAAGCGAAAAATTCCAATCCCAACAAGTGTTCACTTGTGACAAAACAGGCCTGTTCTGGAAGAAAATGCCAAACAGGACCTACATTACTCAGGAGGAAAAGGCACTCCCAGGACATAAGCCATTAGGACTTGACACCTCAAGCCCAATGGAAGGGGGATTCCCCTTCTAAACACTAACACCATCCAATCCACACTCTCCCCTCCTCCCATCCCATCAATCATCACCAGATCTTCAATAAAGGTAAGTGTCATGTAATTGTACATGTTTTCTTCAGTTTGTGTGTATTAAAATCAATATTTCATGTGGTAAAATTGTTTTTTTTTCATACTTTAGGGTGTCTTGCACAGATTAATTTGATTTCCATTATTTCTTATGGGGAAAATTAACTTGACTAACGATAATTTTGACTAACGATGAGCTCTCAGGAACGGATTAATAGCGTTAGTCGAGGGTCCACTGTATTGTTGTATTCTGGGCACCTCTGCAAAAACAGTGATTATGTGTGAGTGAGATGAAAGTGTTGAATGATGATGAAAGTATTTTCTTTTTGGGGATTTTATTTCTTTTTGGGTCACCCTGCCTCAGTGGGAAATGGCCGACTTGCTGAAAAAAAAAAAAATTAACCCTTGCTATGGTTTGGGTTAACAGGTTAATTAATGAGAAAGCTAGAATCTTTCTTAGTGACACATTCTTTGTGTCAGTACTGCAACATTCTTTGTGTCGTACTGCAACATTGTGTCAATACTGCAGCATTCTTTGTGTCAGTACTGCAACATTCTTTGTGTCAGTACTGCAACATTCTGTGTCAGTACTGCAACATTCTTTGTGTCAGTACTGCAACATTCTGTGTGTCAGTACTGCAACATTCTGTGTGTCAGTACTGCAACATTCTGTGTGTCAGTACTGCAACATTCTTTGTCAGTACTGCAACATTCTTTGTGACTCATAGGTGTATAATTAGTGGCTCACAGGTGTATAATTAGTAGCTCATCTCTTCTCCTCCACTTATTATAATCCATTTTTTGCATCTGACCTTCATTTTAATCCACATAATCCTTGAAATTATATACGTATTTATATTCTCTCTTCTCCTTCTATAACTGATGCTTCAACATTATTGCTACCCCTTCCTTAGCTCTAACTCTCTCAGATACTTCTGACTTAATCCATTTATTTCTCCCCACTGAAACCCCCCTACCCCCTTCAGCTTTGTTTCACTTAGAACATCCAACTTCTTTTCATCCGTAACACTGGCAATCATCTCTTTCTTATCATCTGCTCTACATCCATGCACATTTATACATCCCAACTTTATAAAAAAAAATTTTTATTATTTTTAGTAATTTATACTAACCCCTTTCTCTTAGCATTTTACTCGCCTCTTATAACACGGCTTACAGAGTAAGGATTCTTTTCCACTTCCCCATGGAGATGAAAAGAAATAGATAAGAACAAGAATTATTAAGAAAATAGAAGAAAATTCAGATGGATGTGTATATATAAAAGTGTACATAAAAAAAAAAATTATTTAAAAATTTTCATTGCATATTTCCAATGAGGTGGAACCAATTACCATATTTTACATATGCAGTGGACCCCCGCTTAATGATCACCTCCCAATGCGACCAATTATGTAAGTGTATTTATTTAAGTGCATTTGTACGTGTATGTCTGGGGGTCTGAAATGGACTAATCTACTTCACAATATTCCTTATGGGAACAAATTCGGTCAGTACTGGCACCTGAGCATACTTCTGGAATGAAAAAATATCGTTAACCGGGGGTCCACTGTAATTACAATTTCAAATAATATTTATTTGAATAATGCGATCATTTCACAGGATTCATTATTCACACTAATTGAAACTTAGCTGTACTAATGTTTACATTACATTTTATATCATAAAAGTAATGACAAATTCTCTGTGTACCTTGGAGCTCGACCATGATCACTTAGGATGCGATTATCTCGTCCTAAATTCCTAGTATGAATACGAGAGATCTCCAGGCTAATTTCTTCTAAGAGGGCTGACCAACCAGCTGCTGTGAAGCGGGCGCGGTGACGAGAGTAGCCACCCAGTTGTTCGTCTGCACCCATCCCACACAAGAGAACCTGCGGAGGGTTATGTAACATTAACAATACAGCAAAACCTCCAATAAAAAACACGGAGTTTTTTCTTGTTATGCACTATGTGCTGCAGGATTTTTTTTTATAGTGAGCACACTGACCATGCAGACCCATTCTCTCATATGTAGGCCTACCAGTTTTCTCCCACAAGATTGGAGGTTGCTAGAATTTTGGTGTAGTATTACGGGACCGACACTAGCTTGCAAGACATAACATTACGGGACCGACAGTGAAAGTGATAATGCTAGTCAAATTTTCACCTTAAAACTGTGCATTCTTTGGCCTTTCTAATTTTTGTATGTTTTGCAAAATGATTTAGAATAAAATATTTGAATTTAGATGAAAAAGAAACAATGGTTCAAGAAAAGATACTGGAAAATAATGTGAGAAATAAATGAACGGATAGCATCTATTTCTTGCAAAGCTCTTGATAAAACGGTTTTCATGAAAGACTCAGTCATATATGTAAACTACATAACAAAGTAATGTAATAAAATGGATGGCAGATACACTAATAATCCAAACTTAGCAGACTATAACTTATGACGATGTTTTGGTCCAAGTTGGACCGAAACATCGTCATAAGTTATAGTCTGCTAAGTTTGGGTTATTAGTGTATCTGCCATCCATTTTTATACATTACTTTGTTATGTAGTTTACATATATGCCTGAGTCTTTCATGAAAACCATGAAACAAAGTTTATTCCTCTTTGCAGTATACAAAATGTAGTTTACATGTCATAAAATACAGCCTCTCCTCATTTAACGATGGAGTTCCATTCCTAAGACTACATCGGTAAACAAATTTGTTGCTAAGCAAGGAGCACACTATACAGTGGACCCTCGATTATCGGCCGTAATCCATTCCAGAAGCTCGGCCTAAAACCAAAATGGTCAAAAAACTGAAATAATATTTCCCATAAGAATTAATGTACTGTGGACCCTCGACTAACGATTTTAATCTGTTCCAGAGAGCTTGTCCTTAGCTTGTCCTTAGCCGAATTAATTTTCCCCATAAGAAATAATGGAAATCCAATTAATCCGTTCCACACAGCTAAAAGTATTAAAACAATGAGACAATAAATACGTAAATAAATACTAAAATGACACCTTTACTGAAGAGTATTGATGAGTGATGAGACACTGTTTTTCTTGAACACTCTGGGATTTTCAGAGTGCTACACAAGTAAAGGCTTCACTTTGCAATCCACACTAGCATTACAACAAAACATGAGAGTTAGCCTGTCTTTCATAGGCTTGTGTCCTGGGAGTGCCTTTTCCTCCTGAGTAATGTAGGTCCTGTTTGCCATTGTCTTCCAGAACAGGCCTGTTTCATCACAACTGAACACTTGTTGGGGTTGGAATTTTTCAGCTTCACCATGCCTTTCACAACTGAACACTTGTTGGGGTTGGAATTTTTCAGCTTCACCATGCCTTATCACACTGTGTATGCCACTACGATTTTTAAATCTCTCAAACCAACTTTTGCTGGCCTTAAATTCACCAATATGAGCACTGGTTCCAGGCATTTTTTCCCATTCACCTGGGTGTTAGTCGACTGGTGTGGGTTGCATCCTGGGGGACAAGATTGAGGGCCCCAATGGAAATAAGTTAGACAGTCCTCGATGATGCAATGACTTTCTTGGGTTATCCTGGGTGACTAACCCTCTGGAGTTAATTGTTTCTCGCTAATTGTTTCTCGTTAAGCCACACCAACAACACTCTCTCCACATCTTCGAGTAGTACAGCTGACGGTGGTGCAGCAGCAGCTGATGGTGGTGCAGCAGCAGCTGATGGTGGTACAGCAGCAGCTGATGGTGGTGCAGCAACAGCTGACAGTGGTGCATCAGCAGCAGCAGCTGACCGTGGTACAGCAGCAGCTGATGGTGGTGCAGTATCAGCTGACGGTGGTGCAGCAACAGCTGATGGTGGTGCAGCAGCTGACCGTGGTACAGCAGCAGCTGATGATGGTGCAGCAACAGCTGATGGTGGTGCAGCAGCAGCTGACCGTGGTACAGCAGCAGCTGATGGTGGTGCAGCAGCAGCTGACCATGGTACAGCAGCAGCTGATGGTGGTGCAGCAGCAGCTGACCATGGTACAATAGTATTTTGATAATATTTCTCACCCTTTTTACCTCAGGGTTGGCACTAGCTTTCTTTGGGCCCATGGTGGCTTATTTAGCAGTTACAAGCACTAAAAACAATGGAATAATACAAAATATATCGAATGTATGCGTGAAACCATCCACCCTGGCTTGTAAACAATGGCACACTAGCTGAAGGCAGGACAGCTGAGGCGCTCAGGCCAGACAGACAGGCGGACGCGTTCAAGACGAATGTCCTTACCCGAGTTTTTCATCATTGCCTGAGCCAATATTTTCACACAAAAACGCATTGTTACCCGATTTTATCGTTACCCGATGACACCACTAGTCGAGGGTCCACTGTAATTACAATTAATCCATTCCAGACAAAAATATTCACCAAAAAATAATTTTTTTAACAATTAAATCAGTATTACATACCTTTATTGAAGGCTAATGCTGGCTTCTGGAATGCCTGCTACACTTCCTGCATGCCTGCTACATTTTCTGCATGTCTGCTAAACTCCCTGCATGCCTGGTACACTTCCTGCATGCCTGTTACACCCCCTGCATGCTTGCTACACTTCCTGCATGCCTGCTACACTTCCTGCATGCCTGCTACATTTTCTGCATGTCTGCTACACTCCCTGCATGCCTGGTACACTCCCTGCATGCCTGTTATACCCCCTGCATGCCTGCTACACTTCATGCATGCCTGCTACACTTCTTGCATGCCTGCTATGCTCCCTGCATGCCTATTACACTTCCTGCATGCCTGCTACACTTCCTGCATGCCTGCTACACTTCCTGCATGCCTGCTACACTTCCTGCATGTCTGCTACACTCCCTGCATGTCTGCTACACTGCCTGCATGCCTGCTACACTACCTGCATGCCTGCTACACTTCCTGCATGCCTGCTACACTCTCTGCATGCCTGCTACACTTCCTGCATGTCTGCTACACTCCCTGCATGCTTGCTATGCTCCCTGCATGCCTGCTACACTGCCTGCATGCCTGTTACACTTCCTGCATGTCTGCTACACTCCCTGCATGCCTGCTACACTGCCTGCACGCCTGCTACACTTCCTGCATGCCTGCTACACTGCCTGCATGCCTGCTACACTTCCTGCATGCCTGCTACACTGCCTGCAACACTGCCTGCATGCCTGCTACACTCCCTGCATGCCTGCTACACTTCCTGCATGCCTGCTACACTGCCTGCAACACTGCCTGCATGCCTGCTACACTCCCTGCATGCCTGCTACACTTCCTGCATGCCTGCTACACTCCCTGCATGCCTGCTACACTTCCTGCATGCCTGCTACACTCCCTGCATGCCTGCTACACTCAGGGCTGGATTACCGCATAGGCAAACTAGGCATTTGCCTAGGGCCCCGTGCATTTGGGGGCCCCGTGGTCCAAGGGGTTCAGGGGCTCATCCAAGACTGCGCACATGGTGCAAGTGCAAAGGGGTCCCTACCTAAAAAGTTCAAGTGTTTGGAGAGTAAAATTGATTTTTAAAAATTAATCAAAACAAAAATAAATAATGAAATAAAATAAAATAAAAATAAATAAACCTAACCCTAGATGGCAACACTCAACATGCCTTTGTTTACATCAGAACAGCTGTGTTTTCCCACTAATGGGCGAGTATGGGAGATTCCTCTCCAATTTTCTGTAGTAATTACACGTTATCTAGACTTGTACTGTGACAAATTAACTAAAGTGTTGTTGATAGACATTGATGTGTATGGATAAATGTTTGTTTTCGCCTCTAAATGTTAAGGGAGGTACCTGATAGGGTTACTTGACCAGTAAAGACGCATGGACCAGTAAAGACGCATTTTTGGTAAAAATACTATAAAGAAAAACCTAAAAACGCAAACTGACTTCCGTTTGTAGGTTTTAAAAGCACTTTGTCCTGTCTTTAAGTCTTTATCATTTCAATAACAGATCTCAATTGATTGATGTTCTACATCACTTCTGTCGCAAATGCTTACCGGGCTGATCATCAGCGGTCAAGGAAGAGGAAACGCAATTTTGAAGAGCCAGACAATGAAATTGTGTTGCTACCAAGGCAGAAATGTAAGACAGCTACATACTTCGTCATTCTGGATTCACTGATTACAGAATTGGTGAAAAGAAAAGAAATCTACCAGAATCTCAATGACAAGTTTGGATTTCTGTTCAAAATTACTACTATGCCAGATGCAGAATTGAGAGAAGCTGCATTAAAGTTGCAACAACACCTTTCAGCAGATGTTCAGGACACATTTGTTGAAGAAATAGTTCATTTTTCTGGTATATGAATCAGATTAAAGCTCCACCTAAAAATGTGCGCCCTCAGCTGCTTTGAAACATTTAAGAAATGCAGGTATCTCAGAAACCTTCCCTAATGTTGACATAGTGTATCGCCTTTACCTAACACTTCCAGCTACTAACTGTGAAGGAGAACGTTCATTTTCTGTTTTGAAAAGAGTGAAAAACCAAGCTCCGTTCAACAATGAGCCAAGACAAATTGTGTAACCTAGCCTTGTTGACCATTGTGCTGATCTAACAAGAAATATTGATTTCAGAATATAATAGTGATTTTGCCAATATGAAATCCAGAAAAAAGTTTATTTAAGAAGTGCCTGTGAATATAAACAATTCTTTACTTTTCTTGAGTTTATATGATTTGATAGTCTTATGCATGATGCAATGATAACAATAATGGTCGTGATTTATAAAGGGAATAATAGTGCTGTAGTGGTTATGCTGAATAAATAGGTACATGATGTCACTACTTTAATTAGCTAATCTAGTAATACTATGCTGTCTTGAGTTTATTCTCTTTAAAATGCATGATTTAACAAGATATTTATAATGGCTGTTGGTAAATGGTTTTGGTGTGTCTTGATGTACTTTCCCTATTAAATTTAATCTAAATAGCCAGAATGTATTTAATTAGACCTTAAACAGGCTCACACTGACCCCCCCCCCACCCCCAAAGCGAAGGGGTCGCTCGCTTACCCAAACTCAAAAGGGGCCCCGTCAATCGAATAGCTTAGGGCCCGAACCTT